GACACACACACAGACACAGAAAGAGAAAGTTAAAAAAAATCTGATTTACAAAAACCAAAAAAAAAAAAAAAAAAAAAAAATTAATGATAAACAAACAATGAAAATTTTTCGGTTATTATTCCTATCTAACATGTACCTGGACTTTGTTCGTTTGTTTTTCGTTTTTTTCCCATTAACTTGATTCATTTTTATTCATTATCATCATTATATAAAGAGTCAAAAAGGTTAAGTTGAAAAAAAACAATGGCAGAAATTTCATTTGATACGGTCAATCGGTTCAATTTCAATCATCAATGGCCTTGACAATGTTTTTTTTTCTTGAATTATTTTCTGTTTGTTTTCGTCTTCGTCTTTGAAATTGACACTTATTATTGATATGCCGGTATTTGATTAGAATTTCAAGTAAACAAAACACAAAAAACAAAAGATTTTCTTCTGTTGGATTTGTCTTTTTCTTTTCTCCATTATTTCGCTAATGAAGATAATCCCCAAAATAAAGGCAACAAAATATGATTTTAATCTTACTTTATTTGAAAAGTTTTTCTTCTTCTTCTTCTTTTCTTTCGATGTTTCTTCGATGTTTGTTTTTGCCAAATCAATTGATTTTTCCAATTCATTATCAATTTGACAAAAATATATACGTCATCTAAACTTTTTTCCATTGAAAATTTTCCTGCTTTCCATGGAAAATTTCTTCTTCGGTTCAATCTAATCACATTACACTGGTATCAAATAATCGCCCTTAATTCATTGGTTTCATCCAGAATCAAGAAAATTCAATGATGATGATGATGAGCTTATCTCGGTGTTTAGATTCTGTTGTTGTTGTTGTTGTTCTGTTTTGTCTGTTATTTGATTTAATTAACGTAAAAAAACGTAGATATTTTTTCTGGCTGATTTAATTTTGATCAAAAAAAAAAAAAATCTCCCTTAAATCTCATTCAACGTTAAAAAAACTTTCTTCAAACCAAGTGGCCATTTTTTTATCAATTTTACCTAACCCTAACCCCACTCACACTTGACGATTGGAAACTTTTCATTTTTTCCAATTGAATTTTCAAATTTGATTGAATAGTTTTTCTGGATTGATTGATTGATTGAATTTGAGCCATTTTTTGTGTACATTTAGCACATTGTATTTGACGATGGTTTTTTCAATTTCAAAAATGGATTTCAATTGAATTTCTCAGTTTCCAATCATCATTCTTCGCCCTAAAGAATTCTTATTTATCGGTTTATCATGGAGAGAGAGAGAGAGAGAGAAAAAAAAAGAAAAACTGATATAAAATATGTTCGTCAAAGAGAGATTAGCGAGAATAAAAAAAAATCTCTGGTTTTTTTTTCCAAATCAAATGATGATCCAATGAAAGAAAATTCAATGAACATCATCATACGAGACACACACACACACACATAAATATCATTGGATTTTGATCATTTTTTTTCTTCTTCTTCTTCGGTATAATATATCTATTATTTAAGAATTCACTACACACTTTATCAATCGGATATTTTTTTTGAAAAGTTCATAAAAGATCTTTATAAGAATATTTTTTTAAATCTTTTTTCTTTTTCTTCAAAATGAAAAAAAGAAAAGAAAAGAAAAACCCTACTTGAATTGTGCTATAATCATAAGTTTTCTTCTTCAAAAAAAAAAATTCAACATTTGATTCGATCGTAAGTAAGTGTGAATGAATGAATGAATGAATGGATCACTTATGATTATTTTATAAACTTTGTCGTAAACAATAATAATATTCAAAAAAAAAAGTGGATCATCATTTTTTCAATGATGAAAAAAAGATGTGAAGAATGCAAAAATGGAATGGAGAGAAACTTTATTCATATTAAATCATCATCATCATCGTTGTTGTCGTTTTTTTTATCTGGAAATATTTCTTTCGTTGTCGGGAAATATTTCTTTCAAGTTTCAAGTATGTTTTTCTGTCTTCAATCTCTTTTGCATCCAATACATTCATCCAATCCACTGTCGATTCAAATGTTTTCATTGTAAATAATAAAAAACAAACCGTATGTGTGTTTAAATGTAAAAGTTTATTCAATCTGGACATTGTTACTGTTGTTGTTGTTGTTTTATTGGTTTTGATCAAAACAAATAAACAAATGGATGGACGGATGATTGAAATAATATTACGCATAATGTCATGTACAATTATTGTTAGTTTTTTATTTTATTTTATTATGTAAAGTTGTATCAGAACCAAAACAACCAAACGAATAAAACGTGCGTTAATCTAGTTGATGGATGTTTGGTCGGTCGATTCGGTCGATTCGGTCAGTGCATGTTTATCATCATCATCATCATTATCACCGACATTATTATATTTTCTTTGTGCAAAATTGATGTCTAGGGATTTTCGAAATTTCTTCGATTTGCAAAAAATGTCTTGGAAACTTCCTGGCAGGAAAATTTCCCGAAAAAAACTGTATTGTAATATAATGAGAGAATTTTTTTTTCTTCCCTATTGTCCATCTTGTGTGATAATGATAATAAAGCGATTAACATTCTTTTCAATAAAAAGAAAGGTAATTCCAAATTTGTCAATTGAAAAGAATTGAATCATCATCATTGCGTAAAAAAAATCAAACGAAACAAACAAAAAAAAAAGATGAAATATTGCATCCATTGTTTATTTGTTAGTTTATCATCGATCGATCAATCTGGTTTGTTACAATCAGCAACAACCAAACAACAAAATTCTCGTTTAAAACAAGTTTTGATGAACCTAATTTTTTTCACTTTTCAATCATCATCAATAATTCTACATAATTGGTTTGCGTTATCCAGGCAAAAATCTTTCTTTTTTTCTTTCTTTCTTTCTTTTCAAATCATTCACCATTGAATTATCACAGAACACCACCACCACCATCAACAACAACAAGCCAATGTTCTCAATTTCCGAATCGATTACACACATTTTACTATACAAAAAAACAAAACAAAACAAAACAAACATTCCATATTTGCAATGTTTAGAAATTCCTAATTTTTAAAAGGAAAAAAACCATATACACCTCTAAAACATCCCAAGATTTAGAAAAAAAATGGAAATATTTGAAATTTAACACTTTGATTCACTGTTTTTGAGGAAAATAAAAAAAATTAACAGATCAAACAACAACAACAATTTTATTTTTAATAATTTTATTCTTGGTTGGTTGGTTGGTTGTTGTTTTTGGTGATTTTCAAAAATAATCATTCTATTAATAATATTGCTTGGGCTGTTTTGGTGGAAACCAGAAAAACAAGAAGAAGAAGAAAAGCAAGTCTACTTAAGTGAATATTTCGGGCAAGAAAACTACTAATCATGAGAAACATGATTCGGTAACCGGCAATTTTTGCAGAATTGAAACTTCATCAATCAAAAAATAGAAACAAAAAATGAAAAGAATTTTAAAAAAACATCATTTACAAGCTGATGGTATATTCGGCTAATTTGTGATTGCAACTTTTGTTTATTATTCAAAATGGATTTTTTCGTTTTTTTCGTTTTTTTTGCGCTTTTTGTTTTGTTTCTCACTTATTATTATTATTACGAAACAACGGTTTTCTTTTTGAATTTCAAAATTTTCTTCATTTTTTCTTGTTTTTGTTTGCTGCGTTTTTTGTGTTTCAAATATCCTGTATGTATTGAGGAATATATTACATCATTATGATCTATTGTCACGTTTCAATCAACAAGAAACAATGCCATAAACCAAAGAGAGAGAGAGAGAGAGAGAGAGAGAGAGAGAGAGAGAGCCCTTGGGCCTGTATAATGAC